CATGCTGTTGTGATGTCATGCTGTTGTGATGTCATGCTGTTGTGATGCATGCTGTTTGAGGCTGGTCTTGTTCAAAGATGCAAGGACTTCTTTAAAAAGGATGCTGTCTGGATGGGTTAATATTTTGTTGTAAAACCTGTATACACTGAAAATGCCTTTCCAGGTGTGTAAACAACCCATAACATAGGCACTAATGCACCCCAATACCATCAGAGAGGCAACTGTACAGTAGTCCCTTGCTACTTCGCGGTTCGTTTATTGCGGACTCGCTCTATCATGGTTTTTCAAAATAAGATTGAACTTGACGCACAATTGGCTGAATGATGGATGAGCTGCACGAGTGACACGGAATTTTTATTTAAAATTAATTTTTTTAAATTATTAAGCACCTCCTGCACATTTGCGCAGTCCACATTGCAGGATAAACTTCCTGCTGCAGCTGATCAGCTGTTTTCCGTGCAGAACGGAGAAATGGGCGTGGCCAAGAGTGCTTGCAGGTGGCTGAGAGCAACGGACAACGGAGACAGGGAGCTGAAATCATGACATTGTGTGCTCTTTTAGAGCGTTTAGAGCACGTGTCAAACTCAAGGTCTGGGGGACAAATGTGGCCCTCGATGACATCTTATCTATGGGCGGCTGTGGCTGAGTGGTTAGAGCAGTCGTCCTCCAATCCAAGAGTTGGGGGTTTGAATCCACCAGCAGTCACATGCCAGACACTGGCAAGACACTGAACCCCTCATTGCCTCCGATGTGTGTCCCATCAGTGTATGAATGTGATAAAGCTCTGGTTACTCTCTTTAGAATGATTTGATCCATTAGTTTTGAAGAGATCTAGTATAGAGCTGTATGAATGGGATTGTAGTGTAAAGTGCTTTGAGTGTCTGCATAAGATAGAAAGGCGCTAAATAAGTACAGTCCATTTACCATTTATATTAGAGATGCACCGATCCACATTTTTTTACTTCCAATTTGATCCCGATACCTAACTCTGTATATCGACCGATTCTGATCCAGTTCCGATATCATGATCATCATTGATTTTATATGAGGCTGTAATAATCTGCTCTCAAGTACAAGTTGTACAAATATATGCATGCATGTCCAAAAAGGCAACTTAAGGTAAGTTTTATTAATGTTGGATAAGTTTTAAAGTTAGAATTAAATTCTGCTAACACAAAACATGTTTGTTTTTATTCCTAGCTTTAAAGTGGATATTAAAGTGATTAATTTAAGTGATTGTTTAAAGTTATTTATTTATTTTTTTTTAATAAGGGGCAGATATAAAAAAAAAAATTCTTCTTTCTGCACTCTTTCCATTCAATGTTTTCTTTTTGATTAATTTGTTTTATTTTCTTCTTTTAAAAGAATGAATAAATGAATTTAATACAAAAAATGTTGAATGGCTTCAAACATCTGCTAAGTTTGTGACATAAACCAACAGACATGTGTCTGTTTTTAGTATTTTACATAGCTTTATAATGTAGCTGTCTTTTTTTTTGTTTTGTTTTTTTAATATAATTGTCTTGTATTTTCCAATTCATATGTTTTTTTTTATTTTTTTATGATTATCTACTGTTGTACTGATAAATATCTCCTGCAGGGTAAACTTCATCTTGACTGCAAGTATCAAACTGAGAAATCCTTCGTTTTCTACAACTGATAGTGGTTGATCATTAATTATGATGAAGTTTAGCAACTTCTCTGTAAACATTCGAGCTCCAGGCCTTCAGCGATGTCTATATGTCTATAGGTATACTAAAATAAACTAGTACTTACAACTTGTACTACTAGTCCTACTTCACAGTGTTTCACTTATCGCGGGGCTTCAGGGTACAGATCCCTCGTTATAAACAAGGGACTACTGTATGCTCATATCAGGTGGATGGTCCCTCCCCTTAACACTTTAACTTTGCAAGATCTTGTACACGACGTCTGAGGTTTCCAAAATAAAAAAAAAATAAAAAAAATATTCTAATTTTGAGTCATGTGACCACAAAACAGTTTTACACTTCAGAATATTTTAAATGAGCATTTGCCCGTCTAAAATAGAAGTGTTTTGTGTAGTGTTCACATATGACGTCACTATGAATCCTTCTTTGCATGATAGAGCTTTAACCAGCATTCATGGAGACTTTTTCCACAGTCTGGTGAGTCTCTGCCCCTCTTGACTTCTGAAAGATTCAGTCTCTAAAATGCTTATATAGTCCTCTCTCTGACCTGTTACTAATTAACCTTATAGGTCTCAAAATGTTCCTCCAGCTCCACTTGAAACATCTGTTCGTTCCGTTGTAAATAAAAATCTGAAGTGTGGTTGTGTTGGGGGGGTTTGGTGTCAGCAGCAGAGTTCACACCCTGGGTGTCAGTCAGCGTTAACCTCTGAACGACATCAACAATCTGCTCTCTGTCTGAGCACAAGAGGATGTTTTCATTGAGCTCATAGTCTGACAAAGGTTTTATACACATTTACAGACACGTTGTTTGTGTTATTAGTTTATATTTTTGTAAATTACTGCAAACGCCGTATTGTTCTACTGGTTGAAATGAGCTGTTATTTATGGCCTTGTGATACACAGGAATCGTCATTCTATTCTCAACAAGCTGTTCTTGGTGCTCTATCAGAACAAACAGAGGGACAATCGCTTGGATCAGTGGGGCTCCGTCCGCTCTCACGTTTGGCAGGGAGTTTATTAATATTCCACAATTGGTTTTTATGTTTACACCCAGCTTTAGTCGCCACGAAGATCTGCAGCTATAACAAATCAATTATTTGTGAAAAACACACATGCCATTGAAAAAATCCAGGGGACGTCTCATGCTCAGTTTAAAGTCCCTCTATTTTAAGGAAGTTGATGCTCTCCTTTTCAATGTTTTCGAGGCGTTGCTTGCACCTCTGCTCCTAAAAACAAACCAAACCTGAGTCAAACTGTTGGCAGCAGTCGTGGTGCGTTTAGCGTTCAGAAGATGCTCAGCATCTTTTTAGGGGGACTCTCAGTGGAGGATGTGCGTGTAAGCAGGTTGTGTACTGAGGAAGAACAAACTACATCACAACACTGAGACAGTCTGTCTGGTCCTGACTGGATGCTGAGTGTAATTAAAGATATTAAAGATTATGTTCATTTCAGACACTTTGCCGACAAAGATCTGGCAGCGAACATCTGCTGGTTCATGATATATTTTGCTGATGCGCCGGCAACAACATTTGTACTTTCTGCTTTTGGCGGCAGGTAACAAAATGTTTATTTCTAAACTTCCATTTGTCTGAGAAATCGTCCTGCGCGCTTTCAGAGAATTATTCATAACCACAGCGTGACGTTGGTTCAGCAGAAGTGTTGCTATTTTTGAATGAGCAATTTCTCAAGTAACCCTGAAACTTCTTCCGTAACCGGAAAGAAAAACAAAAAAAAAACGCCTTTACAGCCTTCACCGTCAACCAATCAGATCTCTGTCCGCACAAGTCTTGACCAATGGGCGCCCGTCTTTGACCTTCGCGCGCGAGGACGGACAAGCTCCAGAAGATCTGAGGGCCTTTTAAATGTGAACACCCTCCCGCACACGCACACGCACGCACCGACACGTACACAAAGCTCCAAATATCAAGAGCTTTTTGCATTAACTTCAGTTTGGCGCACCTGATCACCACCTGGTGCTGACGTCAGAGGAACAGCGGACTGTCATTGCAGGTAACGGTCATTCAACGCGTTAATGACGTAAACACAAGCAGACCACGTGATCTGTAGACCCACAGCCATTTATGGTCCTCGTGCGTGTTTTTTTCCATCAGCCGGACACTTCGAGGTTCTGAAAGAGTCTGCTCCATGAGCACAGAGGACACGGATTTGGACCAGCAGCCTCTGAGAAACATCACGCACGCGGCTCCATGCGGCAAAACGCTTTTTTTGTTGTTGTTGTTTTTGTTTTGTTGCGCGGATCGCAGCAGGTGCGCGCGCCTGGACACTGCGGGGCGTTTCGTCTGAGAGAATCCCAGCGCGTGCGTGTCTCCTCCTCAGCAGATGGACGGTGTCCCTGCTGTCCCCCCACCGCGCAGGTCCACCTGCAGGGCTGGACACTGGCAGGTGCAAATGTTGGACACGCGCGGACACGTCGTGCGTGAAGGACGGAGCAGGTGCTGCGCGTCGTGCCTGCAGGGCGCATCACGGTGCTGTGGACTGCGTGCGCGCGCGGGCAGCTGTCTGTTTAGTTTAATTTCGCGTCACTTGTCTGTTTTGGTCAAATCACAAACTCTGCGTCAGAATAAGGTAAACAACTTGTTTATGAATAAATAAAAACAACTTGATTTAGAAGCTTAGCAGGCAGATTTTCATTTAGCCAATTTATTTGTATTTGTTACGTTTTATTCATCACATAAATCACAAATTAGAGCCGGACTTGAGCAACTAGTCATGTAAAATATTTGCACACGGTGTTTCTTCATCATTCAAGACAAACTAGGAGATGAAACAATCCGTCGGAGTAAACATGGACCAGATTTCCTGACATGTCCCACTCAGTGTGAACATTTTATATTATGATGAAGTTCTGGTGATGACTCACCTCCAGAACCTGTGCAGCCGGTCCACAGTGACGCGAGCAGGACGCACAGAACCAGCAGCTGCTGCATGATGGAGCGGCCCGGACCTGAACCAGAGAAGGCGGCACAAGGCTCGAGTTCTTCCCTAGTGATGGCATTCTTGTAGGGAGGGGGGGTCTTATACTGATCAGCGTGCAGGGGAGAAAGCGTGGCCCCTCCTTCCTCTGTGAGGGGGGGCTGATCAGAGAGCTCCTGCAGAGCTCCACAGGTGGCTGCAGGTGAGCCTCAACAGAAACGTTCTCCATTCTGACCTTTTTCTCCAGTTCTGGTTTTTATGTTTGTGAATGTTCCTGTTCAGTGCCTGAGACAACTTTGTTGTGATTTGGCGCTTTATAAATAAACTGAATTTAATTTAAAACTCAAATTCAAAAAGTCAAAATAAAAACTTAATGCATTTAAAATAATGTACTCACTGTAAATTATTAAAAATCTCATCAGTCAACTACTTTCATCAATCAAGGGCAAGAATTGTTTTACGATAATATGCAGGAACCAACCTTTTAAAATTCTACGATAATAATAATAATAATAATAATAATACACATAATTAGTCTGTTAGTAACATGTCCTATATTTAATAAATTAACTTATTAATAGGTTTGCAATAGGACACTTAGCTCATAAGATGAGCTCAGGGGCCAAAAGGAGGTAGTGCAGCCGACTTGGGACCAAAAAGTTGCAGGTTCAACTCCCTGCCATGCCCACATGTCATGGTGTCCTTGAGCAAGACATCTAACCCCTAATTGCTCCGTGAGCCCCTATAGCTGCCCACTGCTCCACCTGGGTGCGTCTCAGGTTAAATGCAGAGAACTAGTTTTGTCATCGTATGGGAAGATGCAATGATGACAACATGTTGTGTATTTGTTGTAACGGAACAAAAACACAAAAACAAAATGAGTGTTTTTGAGTAAACACGACCTTCTAGCTTCTCGTTACAGCCACATGTGTCAAAATGTTCTGAATAAACATTTCCTAATATGTCGTTTTTATCAGTCAGAACAAAGTTCACAATAATTTCTCTGATTTAAAAAAAAAAAACCTATATTAATTTCTTATCTTTGTTTGAATACATTTTCTACTGATGATGAAGAACGCGTGTTCCTGCCCATGAGAACAACAAGAAAAAAAAAAACTATCTTGAAAATGTTTATTTTTCTTCAACGTTACAGAAAAAAACACAAAGATAAAATGGATAAAACGGATCACTGTGACGTGCTCTGACACGTGTCTGAGAAACTAAAGACTGCAGAGGACATTAGAGTGAAACTCTTTTGTGTGTTTTGATTAGTGAAAGGTTGTTTACAATGGTGCACAGAGATGTTTAGGCAGCTTCATGGAGTGGGGCCGGGTTAGGTGAAAATGATCCCCAGAGAACAGTACAAGCAGACTTTGTTTCATTTCCACCTTGCTAAAAACTTTGACTCTTCTCCTCTTAATTAAAACAAATTAAGACGTTCAAGCTTATTTTTCTCGGCTCTGAAGTTACAACGCGAGCTTGGCAGGACGCGCAACATAGATGTAGCTGCAGGAGGCGGTGGAAGCTGCTCTCACAACACGACTTGAGCAACGTGACCATGTGGCCCCTGTGCCGGGCATTTCTGTTACAACTGCTGCCACACAAACAATTTAAAGTGGAAGGAAGAACTAAAGCGCTAATTTCACAAGAGAACTGCAACATAATGCTTCATGGGGCGGTTTTGTTGTGGCTTTGTGGCTGAAGCAGTTCTCAGTGAGAACTTTTGTAACACTTTAAACTTTGCAAGATCTTGTGCAAATGACAAACGTCAAAGACAGGGCTGCACAGTGTCATCGTGTTCCGCAGGAAAAGCTCTGTTCATCACGTCGGAAGAGCCTCAAACACAAGACAACCTGGAAAACTTCAGCTGTTTGCAGACAGCTAAAACAACAACCATTTAAAAACGATGACGTCAGAGCCCCGCCTCTTACCGGACCAACATTTATCACTGTAGACATGAAAACTTTAAGAGCATGATCCACACATTGTTTTCACAGCACCATGCACGCCTGACTTAGTTACTATGTATCAGTCATATCTGGTGTTTCCATGTGGATAAAGACATTTCTAGCAACACCTTTTGGAAACAACGAATAAAAAGATTGTTTTGAAAATCTTTTTTTTTCTTTTTACAGGGCTAATTTTAACAGATATTAACAGATATTGTTCCATATTTTCCTAATAGAGCACTTCGCTCACAAACTGCGGGTTTACTCGTGGTTCCTAGTGTCACAAGAATGGACTACCCAGAGGGAAAGGACCGAATATGAGCAACTCAACAACAAGAAGGCAAGTTCAGTGATTTTATTTACAGCGAATATTATCTCAGGTAATGTCAGGCACCCTGGGGAGCAAGAACAAGGGTCAGCTCTGGAGTTCTGGTTTAGATGGTCTTCTGGTTTTTACTGGTCAGTGAATGGTTGTTGGACAATGACTGGTTCCAACGATCCTGTGCAAACAAAGTCGTCGAGAGTGGAATAGTCTCTGGTGGGCGAGTGGTTGGAAGGCGAGGAACACAGCTGGGGAGACCATGAAGAGGTCTCCAGGGCTTTCACAAATATGAACAGGTAAGTCTCAGGAGGTTCAATGGAAACAGCGAAAGACACAAGTAAGTAATCTTAGATATAATCTAGGATATTAAATGGCTAGAAGCACGAACCATTGGGAAGGTAATGCTCCAGCGCTGAAGAGAAGTCATCAGATGTCTTTTATACGCTGGGAGTCTCTGAAGGAGCTTGTTCTCAGGTGTGGTAGTTTGGTGTCATCTAGTGACCTCAGGACAGAAGTGAAACTGGATCTTCTACGCCTAGATCCAACAAAGTTAAGTCAGGTCCTCTGGATGGTTTCTTTTGGTTGAAAGTTTCATCATTCTTTTATTTTTTTACCTGGATTATCGAGCATGAACATTGTTGACCCCACACCTAGAGTTTCCAACAGCAGAACTTTGTTGAACCTACTGCCAGTTTCTGTCCGTGAGACTGACACCTTGTTTTTTAAGATTAGGCTCAAGTCTTTCCTTTTTGATAAATCTTAGTTAGGACTGGCTTAGTTTCCTGATCTATCTCGTAGCTTAATATTTTCAAATCCACCAGCAGTCACATGCTGAAGTGTCCATGAGCAAGACACTGAACCCCTCGTTGCCTCCGATGTGTCCCATCAGTGTGTGAATGTGATAAAGCTCTGATTAGTCTCTTTAGAATGATTTGTTCAATTATCTTTGTAGATCTAGTATAGAGCTGTATGAATGGGTCAATGAGGCACAGATTGTTGTAAAGAGCTTTGAGTGTCTTGATAAGATATAAAGGAGCTACAGTATATAAGTACGGTTCATTTACCATTTACCTTATCCTACGCTGCTATATACTGGAGAACACCTGGACCTGTCATTCTGTGTCCGTTCCTCCTTCCTGTCCTCTCAAACCCAGTTGGTGGAAGCAGATGGCTGCTCGTCCTGAGCCTGGTTCTGCTGGAGGTTTCTTCTTGTTTAAAGGGAGTTTTTCCTTTCCACTGTCGCCTTTGTGCTTGCTCAGGATGGGAGACTGTGATGAAATGATGACAGTGCAATCTGCTGGCTACAATACCTTAGATAAATAATATTACTAATTTAACTTTTATGTATGTGAATGTTTTTTATTCGGTGTCCTGAGATAACATCTGTTGTAACTTGGCACTAAATAAATAAACAGAATTGAATTGAAATGAATGTATATTAACATCCCACCTCACCTGGCAGAGGACTCGTGCATGGAGGACCCAAAGTGGCCCTCAGACCATTAGTTGATGCCTACTCAGGCAGTAAAACTGGACATTTAAAAAAGCATCACGAATTATCAATATTTCATATATTAATTTAAGCGGCCAGTAGCTGTTTAATGGATGCAAATGAGTAAAAATCTACATAATTTCACTGTGCGGAGTTGTTTGACTGACTTTATCTTGTCTGAAGCAGATTTAAATAAAACTCTTTGACACATTCTGGTTTATAATCAAAGAAAAAGGACAAATAAACATTTAAAGTGATAGAAAACAACATTAACTGGGACGTTACTTGAAGTAAACAGGCTTATGTTTCAACCCAGTTGGCCCTGTCAGTTCCCGGGTCGTGCTAAGCGTAACAAACATCTCAAGACTTTTGCTGAACTTTTCAACCAAAATAATTTGAAGCTGTCGCTTTTATTTTCAGTCACCTTGTGGAGACCTACATTACCCCACGCTTGAATTATTTATAATGCTGAGTTAGTACAGTTAGAAACGTTAGCAGAACGTCCTCCTGCTAAACACGTCTTTGCTTGTGCTGCGTTTCATAAAACCGTTCACCACTTTGAACAAAATGATGCAAATCTCACTTCTTTTTTCTTCTTATTCAAAGGAAATGACTAATTAAGGAGAATCGTTTACTCTTTTCCAGAGAAAAACTGAAAATAAATCGGGAAGTTCACTGAACTGCTGTAAAGATGTCGTGATTTACTGCAGGTCTGGCTCCAGAAGCTGCTGGTTTGAAAACGCCACTTGATGGGCAAACAGCAGCTCTGCAAGAGAATCAGATTCATTGTTGAGCAACGCCAAAAGGCGGGCACTGTGCTTGTCCATGTCTGTGTGTTTGTCTGTTAGCAAAATATCTCATGAACCAGTGAACATTTTCTAAGCTTTCAGAAAGTAATTTGTAGATGTTCATTATTATTCATTAACTTTTGGTCAGTCTAATTCCAGATGGTCTCCACAGCCAACTGACCCTAAAAACAAAAAATTAGTCCAACTCTGTCAATTTTCTAGATGTACAAATACAAAGTATATGGTAGTAGCCAAGAGTGATCCCCAACACATATTCTGAGCAGTAACAGATTACACAAGATGCTGGTGAAGATTCTCAGTCATCCAGGTCATGAGCAGTCCGAAATAAATGTAAAAAAAACCAACAACTGGACTTCTGTGCTGTAGTTGAATGTTTCTCTGCCCATCCGGGAGGATTTATTATTCTAAAACCTTTACAGAGCCTTGTGAAAGTATTCGGCCCCCTTGAACTTTTCAACCTTTTGCCACATTTCAGGCTTCAAACATAAAGATATAAAATTTT